TATAAGATGTCAATTATAAACCACAAAAACCATAAGTATCGATTCTCAAATTTCTTATACTAATACAAGGTATCATTGTTTTGACCATAATAAATTTCTATCATTGTATTCAAATCGTTGAGTGAAAATGACTTGATCTTCAATGCAATATTTTTATAACTTGTGCGTCTTGTTAATTTAAAAACAATTGTCCGTTCTCGTAGGTCGTAGTGTTATGTTACATAATGTTCTTCCCCAATAAATCTATACATATAATAAAATTGTAACTAACCCGAATCTGTACATTAAATATTTTTTGGAAAATCTTATTGAAATAGACTTTATTATCGACATAGAGGCCGAATCTATAGTTTTTAGAATTTTAGTTTGTCTGTTACCGCATCACAGAAAAATCACTGGAGGGATTTTAATGAAATTTGGTATGGAGATAGCTGGTTATCCGGATCAACATATAGGATACTTTTTAATGCGAGAAAATGTCTCACTTCTGAGAAAAAATACAAAAACTGCAATGTAAGGGTATACTAATATGTAAAACCTAAGAATTTGGTTTTTGGTCATCTGAACGCGGGCGGAGCCGCGGGCAATGCTAGTAGGCTATAAAATCCAAATCAGAACAGTAGATCCAGAGATATGAGCGTTTAAATAAACAAACGCTTTAGTTTTAATATATTAGTATGTAAATAATTGAATTTATTCAATTTGCGTGGTAATAATTTTAAAACTATTTAAATTTACTTGGCAATTTAAAACACAATACACGATGTACAAGAAGCCATTAACAGAGCTGCGGTACTGTTTTAATTTCTTCATAAGATAACGACAGGAACAATAAAGGTGAGGTATAATTTACTCCAATAATCCCTATAAGGCCGGGCATTAAAGGTTTGCGATAAAAATCAAGTGTTATTTCTGTCATCCACTAAAAGCCTAGCTATAGATGCTCTATAATTTTACGGCTCTTTAAAAAAGTACGTAAAAATACTTAGTTTATGGTTTAAAATATTTAAATTACTTATGTAATTTTTAAATAAAAAAAAAATAAAGAAATTGTCAACTGATCATTTCATTTTTTTAAACTAAGAGTACAAAGTTTACCAAAAAATTAAGGCCAATAACTACCCTTAAAATATTTGATGTGTGTGTAACCGATAAAATTATTTATCGCCTCTACTGGTGACGTAAAGAGATTTAACTGGCTCGTTTTTCGCCCAAAGAAACGGCATTGCCACCCAGAGGAGAAATCCTTCTTTTTTATTGCCACAACTCGACACGGACATGATTTGTACAGTAATAATTAAATGTACATGTGTTTCGTATATAAAATAAATTATATTTTATGTAAAGAAAAAAAGTGCCAGTGTGTACAATTCACACATGGTAGAAGTGAAACTTAATATTATATATTTGTCAGATAATAATAACAGTTACCATGGCAACATGGCGATGTATTCTATCTCATTCTTTCGTCGGCTTAATCCCATATATTTATGTGTTTGTCTCTTTTTAGTGTCGCATTTCCGTTTCATTTCGGTTTCATAGAGTCAATCAGAACGATTCTATAGAAGTTTCACTTCAAAAAATTGCAATGGGTATAACTATTCTGATGATATATAGCGCTATATTTTCATTGTGATACATGCATAATCGCTTTCGGGTGGCGATGAGAGTAAAACAAACATGGGGCGTGGTTAGCGGCATCTTCTGATTTAAGTGCATTGAATTTCATAAAGGAAGGCACAGTGTATCATTTGTCAGTCTCCATATTTGGGCTACTATAAATGTGTTGAAATATATATTTAGAGTGACCGGTCACTGCAGACTTTTTACAGTTTAGCCGATTTCATAATCAGTATGAAGATTTATAATGTTTTTAGTCGATATCGTATTGTTATAACTTATATACCTACAATAGAAGATGCATTCTTATTGCTTACTAAGAATCGACTAATCGCATAATAAAGTCTGGAGTACGCGGAGAGTCTTACTATGGTATCGTTTATTCTTATTTTTAGGTTCTTTTATAGGAAGCCTTAATGGTATCTCAAGACCACTTTTTATGATTTTTAATTCGAGCGACTTATCTGTGCTATATGTACAGACTTGGCTTTGCTCAGGTTAGAAAAAATAATTTATAAGAAAAAAAAACCCGATTGGCATCCCCCAATTGATTGGGAAATGGGCAGGATAAAAAAGAAGGTTTTTTTTAATGTTTAGTTTATAATTATTTATATCCATTCATTTGTAATGCACTGACTAGACGATCTTAATTATATAATGGCTATTATGTAATTTATCAGACAAATACAAATCAAGTGACTCATGCATACAGTGAAGTAAAATGTAGATATTGCTTCACGTATTTTCCCCATGAGTCACATACCGTCACGGGGTATACAAAACTTTCAAACCATAAAATGTCCATATATTGATGTCAATTTTACGATAAACGGTCGCTTATCAGTTATCACATTTTAATATGCATTTCAATTAATATCAAAACTATACATTTCTTAGAGATCAAGAATTAACCTAGTTTCATATTATATTTATATGTACTTACTAGCATTGCCCGCAGCTCTGCCCGCGTTCAGATGACCAAAAAGAAAATTATTAGGTTTTACATATTAGTATACTCTTACAATGCAGTTTTTGTATTTTTTCTAAGAAATGAGATATTTTCCCCAGATAAAAAGTATCCTATATGTTGACCCGAATAAACAGCTATCACCATACCAAATTTCATCAAAATCCCTCCAGTGGTTTTTCTGTGATACGGTAACAGACAGACAGATAGACAGACAGACAGACAAACAGACAAAAATTCTAAAAACTATTGATTCAGCCTCTGTATCGATAATAATGTCTATTTCAATAAGATTTTCCAAAAAATATTTAATGTACAGATTTGGTTTAGTTACAATTTTATTATATGTATAGATAATTAATCGATCAATTCAATTCTCTTGTTAATCTTCAAAATGTACTACTTAAGTACAGATTATTTCGCCAATGTCACGTAGAATGAAGAATTATAAGATTAAAGGCCGTTTTTTGTTTGACAATTTTTAACCCTTTTGCTCTATTATTTTTTTTATAGGGTAAACTATATTATTAAAATACACAAATACAAACTAATTTGTATAACCTTATACCTATCACATTATAACTTTTCTTTTCACATATTTGTTGTGGAAAGAAAGAATAATTATATAATATTGTACATATAAATTATTTTTGTCTTTAAATCGTTTGTCGTCAACCATACATAACCTTTTTTAAGTAAGTCAGTGTTGCCTACTAATGATCATATACATTAATGACGTCATTACATGCGTCACTGCCTACATCCGACTTCCGCAGGAGACGTTAATAGTGTTAAAACGGTTTTTATTTTCAACCGACTTCAAAAAGGAGGAGGTTCTCAATTCGACTGTATGTTTTTTTTTTTTTTTTTTTTTTTTTTTTTTTTATGTTTGTTACCTCAGAACTCCGTCATTTATTAACCGATTTGGACAATTTTTGTTTTGTTTGAAAGGGTATACTTCCAGATTGGTCCCATTTAAATTTCAAAAAAAAATACCACCCCTAAGGGTGGAAAAACAACTAATGATGAATTTAACCTACTTCTAATTGTCATATTGACTTGAAACTTTGCAAGTATTTCTATTTCCGTTGATAGTACAGTGGTTCGGTGTTGTTGACCTGATCTGATGGCAAGGCCAGAAGGTGGATAGGTGGAACTCTTCAATGGCTAATAGTAGATACTTTGAGTTTGGGCTTATTTTGTTTGATTTGACAAGCCTAACACGTTAGAATCCTTACTTTGCTACTACTGTCTACACTAAATAGGTAAAAATAAAAACTTTTTAACAAAAAAATAAAAACCGACTTCAAAAAAAAAGCACTAAAAAGTAAAAAATAACTGATTGGTAGTTTTCATTTACTATACATACCTAATCAAATATTTTCGAAGTCGGTGTGCTTTGGCTAAGTAATTAAAGCCTACCTATTAAATTAAACACATACCTAATCAAATATTTTCGAAATCGGTGCCAGCCCATACAAAGCAAAGCACACCGACTTCGAAAATATTTGATTAGGTATGTATAGTAAATGAAAACTACCAATCAGTTATTTTTTACTTTTTAGTGCTTTTTTTTTGAAGTCGGTTTTTATTTTTTTGTTAAAAAGTTTTTATGTTAAAGAATATCTCTGCCAGATGTTTTTATTTTCAGATAGAATTCATATTACAATGTTAGTTTTTTTAATCTTGTGTTAATTAGTTGCGTAATAGAGACCAATATAGTGTTAAATCTAAAGATGGCCATACACGTTAAAAAATTTACTTTTTTGGATAAACCACACACAGATTAAATGCAGCGTGTGTAGCAGTCAAGTACAGTAGCTAAAATCGTGGCTTATCTGTGCAGTTATCTATATAGGCTATCTAAAAGCTTGGCCAATTTTACCTAGCCCAGAAAAACATGAATATTATATACACTACAAACAATCGCTCTGAGCTGGATTCGAACCTGCTATCACATATTGCAAATACTTAGTGTAGCTCTAACACTTATTTTATGTAAGTAAATACTAATAGAGTAATTGTAAGACACAGATATCAGATATCTCTTTCTTACACGAATTTATTTCTTCTAGTAAAAGATATATGTAATAAATAAATATAAATATGTTGAGACATTAACACACAGCACCATCTAGTTCCACGGTAAGCTACGAGGCTTGTGTTATGGATACCAGATAGTTGATACACTACCCATATATAACTTTAAATACATACATATTACAAATATAAATACCCATGACTGTAGTACAAACATTCATGCTCAACGCACAAATGAATGCCCCCAGCGGGACTCAAACCCGCGACCGCATGCAGAGCAAGTAGGGTCACTACAAATTGAGCTAAAGGTGTCGTCATATAACTAAGTATATTTTTTATGTTTAATAATAAAGCCTTTTTATAATTGTTGCAGATAATAACATCGACTCCGCGCATCGACAGATCGATCAGAAATCTAATCAATGGTTTGGGGCCACCCTCACTAGTACCGGTAGAAACGGGCCTATTGTGGTAAGTCATATTATATGTGCACAAAGAATAAAATGCCGGTCAAGTGCGAGTTGCACGCAATACTTAAGGTTCCATAGTCTGATTTAACACTTGACCGGTTTTTATTTTCAACCGATTTCAAAAAGGAGGAGGTTCTCAATTCGACTGTATTTTTTTTTATTTCATTAACTTCACACTATCATGACTAAAATGAAACTACATTTTTTTTTGATTGAGAAGTGTTGCGTATAAAAACATTGAAAAGTATATTAAAAATATAAAAACTTAAAAAAAATTACTTTGATCGTTTGATAACTTACCTCTTACAATTTTATCATAATATGTGAACAGATAAAAACGTTGAATTTGAAGATGTCTTGTATATACTCGTACATACTACATGTATTTATGGTACGGCCCCATAAAGTGTTATAGTGACCTATAAAGTTTATGGTCTCGGCTGCACCCTTCCTGTTACACCCATAGAACTGATTTGATGTCAGCACAATGGCTTTTAGACGAAAGGTCGCTTTGTCTTAAAATGTCGTGAAAACCGGACTGTTTTCTTTAATTTATTTAGTAAACTCACGCAATCTATACTAATATTATAAAGAGGTAAAGTTTGTGAGTTTGTGACGTTGTAGGGGGTAATCTCTGGATCTACTTAACCGATTTAGATGAAATTTGATAAGAAGATAGTTTGAGACCATGGGAAGGACAGAATACTCTTTATCTCAGAAATCATCCCTTAAGGGGTTGAAAATGGGGATGGAGGTTTGTATTGGGAATCAATAGTCTATTTATAAATTAGAAGCTATTATTAGTGAGAAATAGTTTCGCTTAGCATGTAACAATTGCTGTATTTTGATAATTAGCATCTGCATGTTTGTTCTATTTTACACTGAAAAAGCTCGATGGATTTTTTGTATGTAGTCCACATACTATAGACTATATACTGAAGTAAATAAAATTTTCCAGAAGGTAGTGCTGCTTAGGTATATAAAGATATAATAATAGCCTCCTAAGGATCTACCCGAGCGAAGCGAGCGTAAATCGCTAGTTTTATAATATATATCTGTATTCAGCCCTTTTTAACGACCCACTGCTGGCTCTTTAATACGAGGTGGATCACGCCATAGTCCACCAGCTGGCTAAGTGCGGGTTGGCGGAATTCACATGTCTTATGAAAACTTGCTAGGACATCATCAGACATGTACGAGGAACATGATGAGTAAAATTCTCGCTTTCTCACTGTAAAGGAAGTGGTAATCATGATAAAAAAGATTCGCACATAAGAATATCAGAGGAGCGATACCCGCTTAACTAGGTTTGTTAGAAATACCAATAATTACTTTTAAATAAAAAGGGTACATCGACATTAAAAATACTTTATTTTTCCGTTGGGACTATTTTTTTCAATAGGTTACAATTGGTAAAAATATCAGTATTAAAAAAAATACACCCCAATATGTAACACCTTTTAAAATCAGTCGAAAATATTTTTACAATGAGGAAAGACCAAGTAAGACAAATAACATCGATGACAAGTGTTTTTTCTTTTTTTTAATTTAAACTTTAATTTCTTAAATAAACCCAAAACCTACAATTAGTTATCATATTAATATTTTTAATAAAACTGAACAATATAAAGTGGCATTTAAAAATATCGTGACATTACCAACTTATTATTAAGGCTTGACGCTATACGATTCATCGCGACATCCATTAATCTTCCCATGCGAAAGTAGGATACACACTGAGTGGAAGGTTAAGGCCTAATCCACACTATAGTGCCGGCTCGTTTTCGATCCGATATAGTATTTTTATCCAAGAATCAATGACTGCATTTACACTATCAGTAAAAGTCGAGTTTCAGTCGAATCACACCCCAACAACGTTTCTTGTATACATCGGACCGAAGACGAATTGCGGTCGGCACTATAGTTCGGATCTGCCCTAACAGGAATAGTTCAATAGCAAGACCAGACTATAGATAGGAATTTAGACTGGCTTTAATTAGTCTATTTGTACTGATTCAATTCAATTCTCTTGTTAATGACTTCAAAGGAGCTTATTTTTGACAACGATGGCATAATGTTTTTAATTAAGATTATTATTTTGTATATAATATCATTGTATATAATACTAGCACTGCCCGCGGCTCCGCCCGCGTTCAGATGACCAAAAACCAAATTCTTAGGTTTTACATATTAGTATACTTTTACAATGCAGTTCTTGTATTTTTTCTCAGAAATGAGATATTTGCCCGCGATAAAAAGTATCCTATATGTTGACCCGGCTAACCAGCTATCACCATACCAAATTTCATCAAAATCCCTCCAGTGGTTTTTCTGTTACCGCAAAAGACAGACAGAGAGACAAAAATTCTAAAAAATTATACCTACATTCGGCTTCTGTATCGATAATAATGTCTATTTATTTTATGTATAAAATATTTAATGTACAGATTCGACTTAGAACTTTATTAAATGTATAGATATATACATATTATGCAATGTGTATCTTTATATATATAATTCTTCTGTGAGTGTGTATGTCACTGAACTTCTCTCAAACGACTGGACCGATTTTGATGAAATTTTTTGTGTGTGTTCAAGGGGATCTGGGAATGGTTTAGATTCACAATTTGAATAATAATTTTCATCAATAAAAATATTAAAAAAAGTTTGAAATTTTCAAATTAAAGACGTGTAGACAGGACAACGTCTGTCGGGTCCGCTAGTATTGTTATAAAAATGTAACTTCTTGTTACTTGATTATTCTGCTAAGGGTGTTATATCTATACCTACTCTATAGCATGATATTTGCAAATGGGTCAGAAAGACGTAATGGGGTTGGCACACCATTAGGTCATGGGTCTTTACGATTTGTGGACAGATTAGCTATTTGTGTCACGGAATCGGGTTAGTGGTGAAATTTGTTTGTCCGTCTTCGTTTAATATGGGTCAGTTGAAAGGTGTATTTTAAGAGAAAATCCCTTTCGTAATCTGTACAAAATAATATAGACTTTAAAAGTTTTTTTTTGCTTGTTTTTTTGTATGGATACGCTTATTTCTGGAATTACCAGTCCAATTAAAAAAAGTATTGCACGCTGCATCTAATATAAACTTTAGAGGCGTACTAATTACACGTAAATCAACTACGCGAGCGATTCCGTGGGCAAAGTTCACTTAAATAATATGTAGCCTTAAAGTACCTTCGTATATATTTTTAAATAGGGAGAGATGAGAAATAAATTAATAGATTTTGAAAAAAAGAGTCTCACATACAGCATTTTTTCTGGTCAAATTTCTTACTTGGACAACATAAATATTTCTTTCTATAAATACCAGATCAATGAGCTCCGCAGAAGGCTTATAATACAAATAAAGTAATAATATATGTTATATTATGATCAAAACAATTCGTCATATTATAATAGTATTATAGTTCACTACCGGCTCACCCTCACTTCGCTCGCGTTCGCCTCTAGAAAAACAAAAACAAACCTATCCCACGGTAACCGTACATTTTTCTGGGATAAAATGAGCTATTCCAGGCTATAATCTATCTCTGTACCAAAATTCATCCAGATTCATTTAGCCATTCTGACGTGATTGAGTAACAAACATCCATCCAAACATCCAAGCATCTAAACCTTCACATTTATACTATAAGTAAGATTATAAAACTTGATTCATAATCATACTTAATACAGTAATAATAATCCCATAACTGTAATGGCGTCCATAGAAAAATACCAAACAACCCTCAAGAGTAAACTATGTAATGATAATTAAATCCAGAAAAAAGAAAAACAAAACGGAGTCGATTACTCACAACTCATACGAATACTATCGAGTTTCGCTTTTACTTGGTTTTTGTGACTCGTTCCCCGAAGCGTCTGTCTCCAGTTTTTCTCGCCATCTCAAAGGAGATGGAATTTTTATTTCGGTATGCCGAATTAGTGCAAAAACTGGCTGATGGCTGATGCGGCAATTTGTATCGGGTTTTGTTTTCTTTTAGAACACGGCGAGTCCTGAATTTCGATATAAAGGGGGTTTCGAAAGTTTTATTTTGTTTATTTAATAGTCTGAGTATTTTGTTGCACTTGATATCTTAGAGCTATATGAATGAATGAATGAAATTGTAAAATATTATAGAATATAACCATAACTGCTTATAAATACATAAAACGTTCATCTATCTGTTTGTTTGTTACATTTTCACTCATAGTTATATTAAAAGCAGTGGTAGCCCATTGGTAATGCCTTCACTTGGAGAACTAAGTGATAAGAGTAGTTAACGCGCCTCTGAGAATATAGGTAATAGGTATCATTCCAATATGATTATTAATCATTTGCTAATATGGTGAACGACTTTTAACCTCGGGAAATTATCTCATTCCCACGTAAAACACGTTATATTACAACCCAAAAAAATATTTATGATCAGAATTACTTGAAACTTGATATTAATGTTCTTCAATAAAAGTCAATAAATATTTTAGCATGTTTCCTTTTTCATTCCATAAGGGGGTAAAATAGGGGATGAAACCTACTTTTTTCGAGTTTTTTGTAGTTTTAGCGCGACCGAAACCGCGGGTTCTGCTAGTTATAATATAAATTAAAACATAAAACATCCTATACACTATTGATATCGTTTAAGCTTATTGATTTATAATTACCCTCCCGATAAGTCGCGAGAATGTTTTTGTAATACATCGTTTATTTATAACAAATTACTTGGATCAAAGTACTTGCTTTTGTTCCATATGTAATCGTTTTCATTTTATTAGGTGTGCTTTTTATTGTTGCACATTCCCACGACTGTGTGCTAAGAATTTTTACATTTTCAAGATTCTTCTCAATAGACAAGTGGCAAAGTCTGGTTTGCGATATATATTGAAATGTTATGAAGTTCATACGTATACGGATACTTGAAATAAACGTGTATATTATATTTTTTTAGCCATTTACTTAAAACTCTAATTAAAGTTTGATTGTTAATTTAAATTTTGT